CCAGGCGTGAATGAGGGGGCCATGGCCGGTCCCGAGGGTGTGAATTGTGCTGGTGACAGCCTTTTTTCTTCGAGGGGTGGAGAAGGGAAGTTGAAACGCAGCTGAAAGGTCCTAATGGCTAGAGGGGGGGGGGTGAATAGCCTATTTAAAAATTTCTACAACCACACTTAACAAACCGGTTAGATAATTATGAGGCAATGCGAGTGTTGCGCTAGCCTACTAAAAATGCAAGTCACCTACCACAATTCTAGTTTATATAGATTCTATCCACACAATAGCTATGACACTACACTAAGTTAGTGTGCTCTCAAAAACTAACTAAAGAGCCACACTAACCAAACTAATAAGCTCTCACAACTAGCTACACTAAAGAGCTTGACAACTAGTCTGCGGTAATGTAGAGAGTGAGCAAGATAGTTATACCGCCGTGTCGAGGAGTGAACCAAGCAATCCAAAGATGAATACCAATGAAGACCAATCACCTCGGAATCAAATGATGAACACAATGATTTTTTACCGAGGTTCACTTGCTTGCCGGCAAGCTACTCCTCGTTGTGGCGATTCAGTCACTTGGAGGTTCATGCGCTAATTGGCATCACACGCCAAATACTCAATAGGGTGCCGCACAACCAACACAAGATGAGGATCACACAAGCCACGAGCAATTCACTAGAGTACCTTTTGGCTCTCCACTGGGGAAAGGTCAAGAACCCCTCACAATCACCACGATCAGAGCCAGAGACAATCACCACCCTCCGCTCGATGATCCTCACTGCTCCAAGCCGTCTAGGTGGCATCAACTACCAAGAGTAACAAGCGAATCCCGTAGCAAAACACAAACACCAAGTGCCTCTAGATGCAAACACTCAAGCAATGCACTTGGATTCTCTTCCAATCTCACAAAGATGATGAATCAATGATGGAGATGAGTGGGAGGGTTTTGGCTAAGCTCACAAGGTTGCTATGTCAATGTAAATGGCCAAGAGAGTGAGCTTGAGCCGGCCATGGGGCTTAAATAGAAACCCCCACGAAATAGAGCCATTGTACCCCTTCACTGGGCACAACACGGGGTGACCGGACGCTCCGGTCATATCGACCGGATGCTGGACCTCAGCGTCTGGTCACGCGATGCATGCCACGTGTCCCCTCCCTTCAAATGTTGATCACCCAATCTCAACGGTCAAGTGATGACCGGACGCTGCAGCTCAAAGTGACCGGACGCTGAACCTCAGCGTCCAGTCGTTTCCGGTAAGCATCCAGAGACGGCTTTTCACGACCGGACACACCTAGGGTCTGGTCACTCGGCGTTTCCCCTGTGCATGACCATGTCAGTGTGACCAAACGTAGCCAGCCAGCGTTCGGTCGTTTCAGCGCCTGCGTCCGGTCAACGACCGACGCTGCGCTTCTTCTGCTGCTACTGACCGGATGCACCGGTCCTTTAGAGACTAGCGTCCGGTCACTTACAGTGACTACGTTCACCTGAGTTTAGGGCGCCGGTGGCACTGTCGGACTGTCCTCACTCTATGGGCGAACACTCCGCCGGTGAAGTTCCTAACCCTTGCTCAAATGTGCCAACCACCAAGTGTATCACCTTGTGCACATGTGTTAGCATATTTTCACAAACATTTTCAAGGGTATTAGCACTCCACTAGATCCTAAATGCATATGCAATGAGTTAGAGCATATAGTGGCACTTTGATAACCGCATTCCGATACGAGTTAAACCCCTCTTAATAGTACGACTATCGAACCTAAATGTGATCACACTCTCTAAGTGTCTTGATCACCAAAACAAAATAGCTCCTACTATTTATACCTTTGCCTTGAGCCTTTTGTTTTTCTCTTTCTTCTTTTCAAGTCCAAGCACTTGATCATCACCATGGCATCACCATCATCATGTCATGATCTTCATTTGCTTCGCCACTTGGAATGTGCTACCTATCTCATGATCACTTGATAAACTAGGTTAGGACTTAGGGTTTCGTCAATTCACCATAACCAAACTAGAGCTTTCAGCAGTGGTGCTCGTATCGGAGCCCCCAAGTCCTACCTTTGCATGAGGAGGTAGTCCTGCTCGTGCTGCGCCGAATCTAAGTTTCAGACCGCATTCTCAATGTCGAGTAAATCGCATTGATAGGCATTCTAAAGGTCCCCAGAGACAGTGATGATACCATTAGGACCTGGCATCTTCATCTTCAAGTACGCATAGTGAGGTACGGCCATGAACTTGACAAAACACGGTATGCCGAGCACGGCATGGTATGTGTCTTGGAAGTCAACGACCTCGAAGGAGAGTATCTCCTGGTGGTAGTTTGCCGCTTCACCAAACGTGACCCTTAGATCGATAATGCCAAGGGGCATCACCAGTCTCCCTGGTACTATTCCGATAATCGGGCCCCTTGGCGGGCATAGTTTATCTATGCCAATCTTTAGTCTTTTGAAAGTGTCCAATATATGAGGTTGGAATCACTTCCTCCATCCATGAAGATCTTAGTGGCATGGACAGTCTCGAGGACTACATTGATGACTAGGGGAAACCTGATGACATCAACCGAGTGTTCGGGTTGGTCGCTTTCATTGAAAGTGATCGGTGCTCCGACCAAGGCAACCGGGCCATGGTCGCGAGTGTTATGGCATGAGCGTCCCGAGCAGTAGGTGGGTGTCTCGAATCCGATCGGGTCCCAGTATGGGCCCGGATGGTCATTACTCGTTTGAGGGTTTGCTTCGAGTATCCCTTGTGACGTCGATTGTCCCCTCGGGGGGGGGGGTGCTTCATGGGGGAGCTGCCGTAGCGCATGTCTCGCAGTAAGACTTAAAATCTTTGGCGAGGTGGATCATAGGGTATCCATGGTTTTGACATGAGAGGTTCATGGCATAGCCAATATTTGCTCGATGACCCAGTTTTTGGCTTCACTTGACACTCAGCCAGTTAGATCCGTGATTCCACTTCATTATCCGGGGTGCCCCGGCCCTGTTAGGGTTGATCACGAAAGCTAGAAAAAGTTCGTAGGCACTTGCCATAGCAGTGCTCTTGAGCCTGTCAAAGAATCTAGGCAAAACAGCATCTAACGATGGCGATGGTTCCACATCATCTGGGTGGTTTGACTCCCATTAGATTTTGCGAGCAGTGTCATGGAGGTACTCTTGACAAAATTGAGAGAAAGTAGACTCGACATAGCGACTTACATGATGGGCCAACTGAAGTGGTCCTGCCTCGATCGCATTCCCGAGCTCGGTGATGTAAAGTTGATTAGGCGACTATGGTGTAGAAGCCCGCACACGGTTGTTGGGGTTGTTACGTCGCTGGTCACTCGATCGCGCGAAGGTGGCAACATCATGGCCGTCCTTCTCCGGGCGCCTCTTGGTTGCACCTTTACCCGTCCTATGGAAAATAGCCATCCGAAACACAAAAATAAATCTTTACGCGAAAGGCCCCCACCTGGCACGTCAACTATCGGATGATTTAGCTTCGGCAATGCCTAGCAACAAGATCGCGTAGATGGAATCGGATGGTAGCACACGAGACATAAGGATTTATATTGGTTCAGGGCGTGGTAGCGCGCTAAACCATACTCCAGCGCTGCTGCTGCTCTTGTATTCGTATGCTCAATTACAGGGGTTGTTGCTCCTAGCTACGTTGTAGATTAGAATGGTGGAAGATGGATCCCGAGCCCGAGGTCCCTTTCCTCCTTTATATAAGCAGAGGGGTAAGGTTACAGCGAGGGCGATCGGGCTAACATATTAGATTTCTAGTTTGTTACACGGAATGCGCAACAGATTGATCCTAGCTATCGTCCAGATACGCCCGTGTTGGCTTGCCTTGATCTCTATGTTAGTCGACCTCGTCAACCCTTGCGGGCCTCATCTTTGGCAATTGCTGGGCCGATAGCTTGGCGATGGTCATATCACATATACGGACGGTGCGGGTACCTCTGGCCAATATATCTGACACAGACATACTCCTACGTACTCCTATTTGAACTCGTAGATAGTAATTAACCATGTATATAAGCCCGGCCAGAAGAAACTCTCCATTATCTGGTAGATATAGGGAGAGGGACAAAAAAAAAAATGGACAGACCGGAAAAAATAGACTAAAATTCTGCCTCTTTATTATTAGGGATATGTATAGATTGTTATTATAAAAAGTATATTTGTTGAAAATCGTGTAGATAAGTTTTATCTCTATACAGCTTATTTCATCTCCATCCTCATCTATACTGGTCTAATATAGCAGCTCGACTTGTCCTTTTTCTTGTCCCTCTATTAACCTTCAGTGTGTTATATCGAAGAAAAAGAAACCCCTCAGTGTCACAGGCTTTGCGGCTCGGTGACTCGTTTTATAAAGCGTTGTCCATCGCTGCTCCCGAAACGAAACGAACCCCAACCAGCCGCCTTCTCCTGGATTCCAATCTTAGGCCGGCTCGAGGTGCCGCCCATTTCAACGGGTCTCGCATTCTTTACTAGGGGGTACGTAGCACTGTTCCAGTGCTCCTCCTCCTCCTCCTCTTGGGTTCTTCCTCCTCCCAAATCATTGTATTTGTATATGTATACTGGCCGCAATTCTTTTCTTTAGTCTCCTCTTGCCTCTGCTCCGGGGCAGAGGAACAGTGGCTCTGTCTGGTTGGCCGGTGCTGGTGCGTTAATGGCGGTTGACCTTCTCAACCTAGCCTCGCGTCTTTAAATCAGGCGGGAAGCGTCTCCTACGTCGCCTCAGCTCCCTCTTCTCCATCTCCCTGATCAAAATCAAACCACTGAATGAGAGTTTCAAACCCTTTCTGGCCATCTCTGATCCTTTCTTGAGCTCTGCTCTTCCATCTCAGTCCTCTGCTCGGTCTCTGCTTATTCTTGTCGTCTCTCGTAAGGTTTGCCTCGCTTTGATCCTCTTTTTCTCTGCAGAAAAAAAAAGCTTGAGTATGTATCGGTCGGTCACCAACCGCGTCCAGTTTTGGTTTACCGTGTCCAGTTTTGGTTTCTTGGTGCAGTGCAGCAGATTGAAAATGGCGTCGCCGTCGCCGTCAGCTGGAGAGAAGAAGAAGATCCTGGTGGCGAGGAAGGGCCGGCTGCGGCAGCGCTACGACGGCGAGTACCGCCTGGTGGCCGGGTGCGTGCCGTACCGTGTGGGCGCGGACGGCCAGCCCGAGCTGCTCATGGTCTCCACGCCCAACAGGGACGACCTCGTCTTCCCCAAGGTAACCTACTCCAACTCCAACTAGCAGTCACACACCTCACAACTGCATGGGCCTGCGATCGATCAACGTCTCAGCTAATTAGCGCATCGCCTTCCTCCTTTGGCACTTGGCAGGGCGGGTGGGAGGACGACGAGGACGTGCACGAGGCGGCGTGCCGCGAGGCGCTGGAGGAGGCCGGCGTCAGGGGCGCAATCAACGTAACTGCTTTCTTCTGTCTCTCTCACAGTCTCGCTCTCACCTCCACGTCGCTAGCGTCGTCCGTCTCCGGCGTTCTTCGTAGCAATCTTGCTAGTAGCTCGATCCTCCCAGAGTGAAAAAAGCACGCAGTTGATGGCGACGGGCGCCTGCTGTCCGCGTCGTTATCGTTTACGTGGGCGAACATGATCCTAGCAAACCAAGCAACCAGCTGCTGACTAGTTGCAAGATTATCCTCTTAAAAAAATTCACTTCGTCCATGGATCGATGAAAGCTGCCTGCCTGTCTATAGGAAATATAATGGAGAAGCTCAGGTTTGTTTGTTTGTGATTATGATCTCTAGTTAGGCCCTCCACAGCGTACTAGTAGTGCCTGAAATTTTTTTCAATACACGTAGGCTCATCAGAACTGGCATCATCAAGCCACAGTGTGCTAACATCGCTCTTGGTCCCGCAAACGAAAAAAACATCCATATAAAATACTACATCAATCCATCTGATGTATGGAGTACTAGGCAAAAGCATCCAGCTTTGATTATTTAATTCACGGCAGCGGAGCAACTACTTGATCCGCTTCAGAAATTTCAGGCACTGACATCGGCTACTGCAGTGTATAAAGCGGTGCTCAGATTTTCTCTCTCTTCTTTTAGCACTACTTAAGCTATGCACTGCCGAGGGCCTTAGCTGAACCGGCTTCTTACTGGCTGGCTCGAAAAAACAAAGAACCCTGAATTGAGGTCACTGACATCTAGAGATTTCTGAGGATACACTTGAATAAGCCGAATAGCTGAAGAATTAGACAGCGACGATGCTCGCTCGATAGCGAAAGTGACAGGGAAATTTCCCTCACGAAAGTTATGCTATTGCTGCGGCGGATCGTCAGAAACCAACAGTATAGGAGACTTTGCCGTTGACTTGCTCAACGAAGAAATTTTCTGATAAACGAGTTCAAGATAAGCACGGCAATTGCGCAATGCGATGTTTTTAATTTTATTTTTACAATGGTGCTCCTGTCATCGAGATGGGAAGCCCAGATAGATCGTGAATGATTGCTCGCTTTATTCGCCCCTGGCTGGGCTTCTTGTCAGAACTCAGAACTCAGAACTCAGAACTCAGAAGGCGTTTTTTCTTTTTCAGATTCAGAGATCTGAGCCAGTCACCACCCTTTTTTCCCCCCATTGTATCCATGGCCGGCCAGTATGCATGTGCTGTGTCTCCTGCTTGGCAAACACATGTCACCCAGTCTAGAATAAATAGAATACAAGTAAAATTTGTTTTCTTTTGTTTAGCAAAGAGAGCCCAGAAATTAAATCGAACATCTGCTAAATAATCAGTTTTGTTGAAACCAACACCGGAAGGAAGAAGGGATTGATTAACTGATGAATGAATGCTGATTGCTGTCTATGTTTGTTTCTCCCAGCGGACTGCGCTCGGGATGTGGGTGTTCAGGAGCAAGAGCAGCCCGGTGAGCAGCGACGACAGCCCCCGGGGCGCCTGCAAGGGCTACATCTTCGCTCTGGAGGTGGCCGAGGAGCTGGAGCAGTGGCCCGAGCAGGACACCCACGGCAGGCAGTGGGTGAGCTCGTAACACCATTGGAAAAAAAAGGGGGCAATCCGCTGGTGCTCAGAGTTATTAACGGCTGCTGGATCGATGGCAACGTATGTGCAGGTCTCCCCGGCGGACGCGTACCGCCTCTGCCGCTACGACTGGATGCGCGAGGCGCTGTCGGCGCTGCTGGACCGCCTGGCGGAGCCCAAGCCCGCCGCGGAGGGGCTCGGCGAGCACGCCGGCGTGTACATGATAGTCAAGGCGGCCGCAGCCACCGCGGATCGAGCGGTGGCGCTGTGGTAGCTCACCAATGCCAATGTCAATGCCACGCAGCAGTCATAAAATCGACCATCTGAAGCTCTCTGTTCCGACTTGATTCTCAACATGTGCAAATCCTCATCTGGGGGTCACCTCAGGCACGGCTGTTCCTTCGAATGAACTTGGTGTCGGTTGGCTTCCTAGGAAATGCTCTAGCTTCAACAAATGCAGTGTTTGCAAACTTGTCCGGTCAACCCTGGGCCTGTAAATGATTTTGGTTAGGCCACGGATTAAATGGATACAACTGTCAGTGCGTAGCTAGAGTTTCCTTGACTTTGTCAAGTCATTAAGGGCGCGTTTGCGCACCTGGACCAGCATGGCCTAGCCAGCCCAAACGGACCAGGCGTGGGCAGGCCTGTCCCAACTGCTGCAACGCAGCTTATTTGCGCACCTGTACCGATTCAGCACGGCCCAGGCGAGCTGGTGTTTGTGACCCAATACTCAACCGGGCTCAAACGCCAACCGCCACCAATTGCCGAGCATAGATTGTGTTTGCCAGCTGCTGTGCTCGGCCTGGCTCAAAGAGAAGGAAGAACAACATGATCAATAGAGAAGCAAACACTTTGAATGAAAAATGTACAAAAGACATAGACCTCAAACTAATTCCATTTAATCAACACATACATTACCGGCTACATTGCATAATCAAAGAAGCAAATTAAGAACAGTAGCAGAATTAAGTAGTTTGGCAAGCCGAGAAGGGCAACAAGTTAACAGAAAAGAGAGTACATGAATCAAAGTGGCATGTAGCCAGCTAATGCAGTCATCCTATTGTATCATCATCGGCCTAATTAAAACAACAGCTGTGGCACATGAACAGCTTGAGTGACAGACCAACTACAACCATAAACAAGATCAAGATGACAGTATTTTTGCAACAGCCTTGCAGCCCAGGTGAATGAGGATAGATTTCAGAACCTTGAGCTGTCACCAGTTCATGGGATGCTGATGCATCCCCATGATGGGCATCAATTGGTAATATCAATGGTTCTTGAGGTACCCTTGCATTAAAATCTCTAAGAGCATCATCATAGTTGTTGTACTTCTGATAGATAGCCTCTTCTTCCCTAAGCACTTGCTTAGCATACTCATACCGTGTAAAATAAATCCCAGGTTTCTTCCCTTCAAGGACCACATAGCAAGGAGGCATTCTCTGAAACCAACCAAATGTAGAACATGTAAGTGGTCTGAATGACATGCCTCAGTCGACCATTCAGTTTGAATGATGGTGAACATCATCGGCTACTTGATAAAAAATTAGCCTCAACTTAGTAGTTTGGTGGTTTTTTTCCTTGTTTAGTCATTGGTGGCTACCAAGAATTGTAAGAACCAAATAAAGAGGCAAATAAACAACAGTTGCACTCACTGCCATACAGACCTTTTGATCAGTTGCACTCACTGCCATCAGCCATCACAAGAGGATGTTGTTGCTATGGAGTACAACTGAGCATAAGTGTAGAATGGAAGGATAGGCAAATAAAGAACAAAGCACAACAATAAAACCATCAAAACAAGAATAAGGTAGCCAACTCATGTTTGTTTTATGCATCATAGGCCTTTAAATCCCATAGTTACCACCAGGGCATAAACAACACAAATAGGCAACTAGTTATCAAATAAAAAGTAGCCAACAGAGGCTACAAATAAGTTTCTTACAATACCAAGTTCAGCCCAACAGCCAAGGGCTCAAATGTTCCCAAATCCTTGCCTATTGTTAGCCACCCTCCTAGGCAAACTACACCATCAAGGTCAGGTGTCAAAAGAACAAGCAGATTGCACAAAAGCTCCTGTTGTCAAAAGAAGAGAGAGTGGGTGAGGGGGTGGAGGAACTATACATCTCTACAGTCAACCCCCTCCTGGCCTTCTAGCCCTTCATGTGTAGTGGAACTACACATAGTAGTTTTTAGCCAAGAAGGTCCTAAGCCAAAGGGCCCTATGGGCATCACTAATGTTCACAAAGCCCCTGCCTTGGACCTTGTTGTCCAGGAGGAAGGTGTAGGCAACAATAAGTGCCTCCTCACTGAAGCTAGACATCTCCATCACAGCAAGGTACAGACTGGCATCAACATGGGCAGGTCCAGTCTCCCTAAGAGCATTGGCCACATTGTTCACAGCATCTGACATGTTAGTCAACATGAGCATCTCCTCCTCAGAGAAGTTCCCTCTCTTCCTCTTTGGGCCAACAGCTGAGGAGGTAGGAAGCAGTTCAGTGGCCTTGCTATCCCCTCCCTGTTCACTGGGAACTGTGGTGTGGGTCAAAGGAGGACCATCAGCCTTGGCACCAACACTGTCAGCCTGGTTCTGCCCTAAGGCTTCACTAGACCCAAGTGCAAACTTGCCTGTGGCCATGGCATTAGCAAAGATAGCCTCCATCTTAGTGTAGAACCTAATAGGACAGTTAAGAAACTCTGCATCTTTAGGATGGTCCTACAGGGTTGGGCAAATGTAGTTTAAGAAAGGCAAATGTAGGTAGTCAAGGCAAAGACGAGATCAAATTGCTACCTTGCAGTGGCTAAGGTAGTGCTTTTGCTCAAGCATGATAGCATGAGCCTAGTCATCCCAAAGAGCACCACTAAGGTCCTTCAGCTTGCTCACCCTAGCCCATTTCTGCCTCCACTTCCTCAAGTGGTTGTACACTTGAGTTGGGCTAACAATCTCCCCATAGAACAGCTTGAGGGCTTTGGCCACAGAATTTACATCTTTGTCCTTGAAAACCTTGTCAGACCTGCTACCATCACTAACAAGGGCAGCCATCCTCCTTAGCACAAAGCCAGAGGTGGTGTTGGTCCACCTCATTGCCCTCACAACCCCATTCCCAGCCACAGGAGCAGCAACATCAACAGGGTTTACTGCACCTACAGCAGCACCAGCACTAGCACCAGCTGCAACAGGGGCAGCAGCACTAGCACCAGCACCAGCTACAACAGGGGCAGAACCACCATTGATGAGCTGCTCCATCACTGAAGTACCAGCAACAAACCCACCCTCAAATGCACCTGAATCCATCCTAGGGCTGGCATGTAATGAAATCAACAACAGAATGAATCAAGAACAGACTGACAGCAATATTAACAGTTGCATGAATAAACAACAGACTGACAGATCATGAAGAACAGAATGATTCAAGAACAGACTGACAGTAAGATTAACAACAACAGAATGAATGAAGCATAAAATTGGTCTCAGCTTTGTCTACCAAATTATTATATCACCATGACACACACATGAGTTCTATAGCAGGGTACATAAGCTAAATTCAAGAACATATTACATCAAATAGTGTTTGTTCCCCTCCCTTCCCACATAGCATTGCAAATGGCATCCCTTATTTCAGCCATGTCAACAAAGTCTTGGTCCAGATGGGTTGGGGGCAGGTTGGTTGGATCAGCAAAAGTAGTGAAACCTTCCTCATCAGGCACTACTTCATCAATGCCAAAACCTAGAATCTAGTTGTGCAAAATGGCACAGGCAACTACAAGCTTCACTTGTGTCCTATACTTGTGGAAGGGTTTGTTGTCCAAGATCCTAAACCTACCCTTCAGTGCACCTATAGCCCTCTCCATAGTCACTCTAAGTGATGAGTGCCTAAGGTTGTAGAGCTCCCTTGCATTGGTGGGCCTGTTCCTTGGGCCATACTTAGACAAATGGTACCTAACCCCCCTGTAGGGAGGTAGAAAACTATTTTTGCATGCATACCCAGCATCTACCAAGAACATTTTACCTACACAAGACATCTACTGTGAGAGTGTGTGTTAATAGGCCATGGAATATGTAATTAGTGTTGGTGTGTAATTACCTTCTGGCAAACTCAAGCCATCTTCCCTGGCTACAGCATCTGCCAAAACAGTTGCATCATGGGCAGAGCCCTCCCAGCCAGCCAGGACATAAGTGAATTTCAGATCACAATTCACAGCTACCATCACATTTTGGGTGGGATCCTTTTTCCTACCCCTGAAAGCTTGTTGCATGCGCCTAGGAACCCTTGCTAGGAAATGAGTGCCATCTATAAAGCCAATGACATCCTAAAAAGCATGGGTCAGTCATTGCAACAAGTCTAATGTAACTAATGAACACAGGGTATACAATTACCTTAAAATATGGATTCCATGTATGGCTTCCAAGAATCTTTGGGTGAGTGGTAGTGCTAGCCGGCTTTATCATTTCATTCCTAAGCGCACCCACAGCATACAACACCTGATGGAAGTGCTTGTGGACAGTTTGGATGGACCTCCTAAAGGACTGGTGGACAACCCTAAATCTTTGGTTGTGCCCTACAACATGTAAAAACATGGCAACCTGCTCTTCTACTGACACCCCCTCCCTATCAATGACAAGACTCCTCTCTCTAAAAGTTCTCACTAACTTAAAAATAGCAGCTCTCTTCATCCTAATCATAGAAATACACTCTGAATCAGTGGAGTTGTATATCATTCTCAGTGTTCTCTGTCTGTGCTGTTCATTTTCATCCCTATTAGGGCCAGTGCTATAGGATCAGGCAGTGGGGTTTTAGGTTCAGGGGTTTCCTTTTCAGCCTAGTGGATACAAAGGAAACCATAACAACAGTCAAGGCAGCTGCCTTCCTACACAGCATGTCACGGCTCAAAGACAGATACATCTACAAGCATGTAAAAATGTAACATGATTTCAGCTTAATGTACCTTGCTAGGCATCAACATGAATGTGAAATGAATGCATATGAACAAAAGCACGATTGCATCTTGTATGTGATGCCTCCCAGTGCTAAATTTGGACAACATCATCGACCAATGATGGAACAAAAAACTTAGAGCAATAGTAATCAGAAACAGATCAACATCCCTAACAGATCAAGAACAGCAAGGTACAAGTAACACTAACAACTGCATCAAACAGTTATGAACAGCAAGGTACAATACTAATCTGAAACAGATCAACAACCCTAACAGATCACGATCCCAACAGATCAAGAACAGCAAGGTACAAGTAACCCTAATAGGAGCATGAAGCAGTTATAACAAGTATGAAACCCTAACAGATCATGAACAGCAACGAACAAGAAACCCTAAGAACTTCAAGAAGCACCACAAAAAAGAAGATTGGGGGTCGATTTCACCTTGGCTCGGGGTCCAAACAACGGAGAGGAGGCAGATCTAGAAGTAGAGGATGCAGATCGAGAAGAAGACGAAGCAGATGTAGATGGAGAAGAAGAGGAACACCGCCGCCATGGAGTCCCAGCAGCAGCCAGAGCGGGGACGCGGCGAAGAACCTCGGCGCCGGTGACTGAACCAACAACCAGCTGGAGGTCGCCGCCGCCGCCACGCACCACCACTCACCGCTGGTCTCTCACGAGGGAGGTGGAAGAACAAGCACCGAGTGGAAGAAGGAGAGAGTGCAGAGTGGGAACCCGTATATAAAGGCTGGTGAAATCACCGCCATTTCGCTTCGCGTGTGGCGGCCAGAGCGGGAGCGGGGAGCGGGGACACGCACAAAGAAGTTTCCCCTTCCCGCCAGAGCCCGCGCGAGCCACCCCGCCGCCACCCAAAATCACCTACGTGCGCCGCCATGAGCTCGGCTCCAAAGAAACGAGCGTTTTGGTCGTTTCCAGAGGGCCAGGCGGAGAGGGCGTTTTTGGCTCTAGGAAGCCAGGCTCGCTCGCGGGCCACGACTACAAACATGGCAAGTTGCAGCCCACGGGCGCAGCCGGGCCTCCAGACCAGGGTCGCAAACGCGCCCTAAGCTTTCCACTATTTTATCGTCGCTTGTTGTGCTAACCTTGTTCTCAAATCTCAACTTGTTGTGCTAATCACGTCACGGCATGCCGCGACGTGAGCACAAGACCATAACGACAGCCACGCCAAGACGTGCAGCCCAAGACGACATTACTTGCAAGCCAAGTTGGCTAGGCCCTCTCCATCAGGCTTACGACCTCTCGGTTAGGAGAACCTCCTTCTTTGTAACCTGGCTCCGAACTCTATATAAGGGCAACCAAGGCCTTCTTTCAGGGCAACCTATCATTTTCATTCTCACCACACCTCCTCTCTCTCCGGGCTCTCAAAGTTTTTGTTCGGGCAGCCATTCTTATAGCTCTAGCTCTCCTACCTCTTCTACCATTCTTGCACCCCCATTGTAAGAACTTCAGGGCATTCAAGCAAGGAACACGCACTCGATCATCTCTGAGACTGGACGTAGGGCTCCAGCCTGAACTAGTATAAATCCTCGTGTCTTTTGGATGCTACCATCGTCTTCCTAAAGCAGCGCGACATTCGTATAGATTTACTAGTCTAGTTTACAAAACATCGACGGTTGGCGCGCTAGGTAGGGGGCAGTCGCGCACTCTCGTTTGTTGAGAAGAAAGCGATGACTCCTCGCACCACCGGTGGACTCGCTCATGGAATGGCCCGCGGCGGCCACATCCGTCATGAAAACCACGGGTCCATCGGCGTTGAAGGGCCAGTGCCTGCGTCCGTCTTCGGCCGTGGCCTGGACTTCTGCTCTGGTGGTCTGGACCCAGCAGCTTATGGTGGACACACCCTCGGAACTGCCCTCAGTGTCTGCATCCCAAAGTTCACTTACATAGGGGGGTCAGTACCTTCTCTCATCACCGGCCATGGCTAAGCCTTCCACCCAGGAAGCCAGAGGCCCATGGCTCATGGCGAGCTCACCCTTGGAATGCCCCAGTCGGCCACATCCTTTTGGGAAACCATGAGATCATCCGCATGAACGGGCTAACATCCGTCACCGCCCTCTACCCCGTCTAGGCCCACCGCGTGGGAGGCCTGGACCTGGCATTAGAGTCATGCCCCGGGCAGTAGGTCAGGGCGCCCATGAGCGATGGAACCACTCGCCGCTACACAACATCGTCGTTAGTGATCAGGCGGCTACCCGGCGCCACGCCTCACAAGGCCAAGCCCAGAACCAGGGTCCAATCCCACATGATGGATTGGTCGCTCGTCACGCCTTTGCGAACTGTCAACTTTCACTCGAAGGCACGTGCGTCCAAGGAAGTGAGCCCCTAAAGCGCACCACGTGTCACGCTGAGCGGACCAAATCATGTTGCCCTTAGAACCCACTTCCATAGCAACAGGTCACGCCAACTCTTCACCAAGGGCGGCAAACACACCCAAAAGTAGAGACGCGGCGACCACGACGTCGTCGTGCCATGAGGGTCCAAGCACCAAAACACACGGGCCCTCTAGACCAAGGATCACGGTCAGCCGGAGACGAAGAAGTCATCCTCGAGGACTCGCTAACCCGTTGAGGATGTCGAGCCAGCAAGGGTCAACCCAGGGCTGCCCAGGTGGCCGACCCGCACTGGCTACGACCGCTCACAGTGATAAAAAGTGCCTTCACCAGCTCGTTACCCCGGGACCGCAACTACTCCACCACAAACAAGCGCTCGGGGGCTCGCCGCACCCTGAGCAACGATGGCTAGACTCATGACAGCTTCCGGTAGATTGGTCAGTTACGTCAACTTTGACCTTAGCCTCTCCACCTAAGCACATCCAGATACACATGTAGGCTCCCCTATAGTTACTAGAGACTTAGAGTCTACCCGTAGAGCAAACTTGAAAACATGATATCCATGCATTTCATCCTGGTATCGCTTAAACTCCCGAGTGACTCAATTCGGCTCGTGCTAGCAGCCAGACACAACTCGCTCATGGGGGTTGCACACATACGCGCATATGCATGATCCATGGTGTAGCACTGTTTGTCATCGTCCTTGCGACTGACCCATTCAAAGTTCTTTCCAATCGCGCCTCACGCCGTGATGAACCGATGACCCATGTCTTGATTTCATGTTTGCACTAAAAGGTCATCCTAGCCAAGCCCCACGGACCAGCTCCTAGGCAGGACCAGCTCCCTGCCGCTATGGCAACCAGCAAATGACGGCTCATTGAAGATGTGGCTTTGTGTGGGGATGCTTGTGGTTCCTCTATAAATTTGTGGGGGCATCGATATGCAACGGTGTTGGCGACACTCATTGCATGGTGCATGAACATGATGTTGCTTCTTGTGGAGCTGGT